ATAGCAAGACCCTGTCTCAAAACAAACAAACAAAACCCCTCTTTTTGTGGGCAGGCATTAGCACTCTTACTTTACTAATCACAAACTGAGGATCAGAGGAACACTAGCCCAGGGTCACATAGATGGAAAGGAGCCAGCTGAGAGAAACAGTATGGGCTTAATCAGTCCCTAATCATTCATTCATTCAGCTGAATTTCCTCTGTCCCCACCACTGATTTTTTTTGAGGGGTGGGTACCGGGGATCGAACTCAAGACCTTTTGAGGCAGGCAGCAGAACCACTGAGCTAAATCCTTGGCCCTCCCAGCACGGATCTTGATGCTGAAGAATACTGTGGCCAGCCCCTCCTTCCAGGCATTCACATTTTAGGTGAGCATAGGGTGAGGGAAACAGAAGGCTGAGGGAGGGAGGGAGTAAGAACCAGTAGAAAGTATAAAGCAGAAAAGGGAGATGTGCAGGGAGAGGGGAGTAGTCCATTGTCCGAGGCATTTGCTTCAGGGCGGAGGTGGGGGATTTTCTCAGAGGGAAACCAGGCTCTGGATGAGAAAAGCCAGTCTTGCCTAGAGCTGGGAAACATCTCCAAGCAGAGGCCCTGAGACAGCAGGGCTCACTCAGGACCTAAAGCTGAAAGAGAGTAAAGAGGAGCCCTCAGCCTGTCTTCTATGACCCACAGTGAGCTTCTTAAAACTGTTTGAAAAAATCTCTTAACTGAAAATTTTCAAAAATCAGAGAACTCTAGCGAAAGCACAGGGGTCCCACTGTTGGAGAGCTGAGCAGCCAATTCCCAACTCTGAGTCATCCAGGGTGCCCTGGGGTCAGGTCAGCTCTGAGCTGACCTCAGGAACAGGTAAGGGTGTCTGGGACCCCAAGTGCAGATGCCCCATCTCCCTCAAGGGAGCACTGGAGCAGGGTGGGTGGTGCCAGACTGCAGCCCACTTGCACATCGCACAGAAATGGAGGACAGAAGACAGCAGCTCGGGCATTTGGTGGCAGGATCCAACTGGAAAAGCAGGGTTTGGAGATGTTATGGGCCGTCACTCGGCTCAGTTGGCCCCTGCAGGGGGAACCCGGGACCCAGAAGGCTTGAGGATGAGATGTGCCAATGGGTGGGCCGGGGCTGAGGGGGGCCCTGAGTGGGAGGCTCCAGTCGAGGGCTATTTTGGGCTGTGACTGTTATGCTTCATTTTTCTGGTTTTCCTTCTTCAGTACACTCCACCTTCACCTCATGGTCCCTGGGTGTAGCTAATTTTCTTCAGAAACAAAGGGCTGAGTCAGGAGCCATCCCAGGAAAGAGTGTAGGAGTTAGGGTGCAACATAACCCTGGAGCCAGAGGGACCTGGGTTCGAATTCCAGCCCTGTCACTTATCAGGGAGTGACTCACTCCTGAAGTTTCAGTTTCTGCATCTGTATGCTTCAGGAAACGATTCCAGCATTTCCAGTGGAGAAGAGTGGGTAGGTGGGCACCATGGGTGTCTGGTGTCGGCTGTCTCTTGTCTGCCCTGGTCCTGTCCCACTGCAGAGCTCAGCCCCAGAAGGAACAGGAAGTCAGCGGTGTGTCTTTCAGTTGGCCGCCTTCCTCCAGGTGTCTGTGAGAGATGTGGGTGGACAGCTGATACCCCTGGAGTCTCTCCTTCCTCTTTGCTCTTGTCCGGTTTGAATCATCCAGAATTGGTTCAGAACAAGAACTCAGGGTGGGAGCTTCTCCCCAGCCCCAACCAAGTCCTGGCTGCCTGAGGCATCATCTGCCCACCTTGCCTCCTGGTCTACATCTTTACCTATCTGAGACCACTCATTCACACAATGTCCACTGATCACCCACAAAGCACCAAGCCCACACCAGGTGACAAGGCAGTCACATAGGGAAGTGTTGTCCTGTTCCGGACCCCAACTTCTCTTCCCCGGGGGCTCATCTCAGTCCTCAGCCTGGGCTGGCAACTCTATCAACAACCCCAACATGCTGATTCGGTCAGCTACCTGCTGTGCAGGGAAGCGGGTAAATAAATCCCAAGGAATCTAAACCAACCAGGCTACTCCTGCTGTCTCGGGTCACGGCTGCCTTAGGGTGGCCAGTCCCAAGGGGAACTCTGTTGTGCAATGGTTCCCAGGCACAGAAATAGACAGCGTCTTCACTGGATACTCACTGTGGCTTGAGGGCTGGAGCCATGGCTGCCATCTTGGACCCGTGACCCTCCTATCTCTCTGGGCAAAGCCAGGAGAGTGAGAGGGGCCCAGCCAAGGGCGCTGGGAATCCAATCCAGGACTTCACACATGCTAGGCAAATGCCGCACCACTGAGCTACAGCCCCAACCCTTAACTGGAAGCTTCTCAACCAGTACAAAAGGGGCATGACACAGGAGCAGAAGGAGAAGACCCTGGGGTAGAATCCCCTAGCTGGGTCTTTTGTTGGTTTGGGAGCCTCAGGAGGTTCTGTTCTCTCTCCAACCCTCAGATCCCTCAAGCATAAAATAGGGGCAATAACGAATGCCCTTCCCAGCCAGCACTGAGATCAAGAGAGACGTTGTACAGAGCTGCAGGGGGCTCTGAGGTCCGATAAGCGCACACCCTGCCTGGGAATCCAACTGAGAAAGGAGCTGGAAGGGACTAGGAAACATCGATGGACATTAGAGATCTCACTCTCCCCTTGCCAGTGACTTGAGATCTGGTAACTATGTACCACGGGCCACCACGCGCCAGGCACACCGTCCTCAGGGTCAACTCATACTAACCTTATCGAACCCTTACTTGTCCTGACTTCTGCTTGTTTTCTTCTTATTTTTGTCTGGGTTTTGCCCACAAGGAAACTGAGTTTCCTTAGGTAAGGAGCATATGGTTAGTCGGTGAAATATTTTTTAAATCTTTTTTTGTTGCCTAAATAGCGGTCTTAGGTTGACAGCAAGGTCAGGTGGAAGACACAGAGATCTCCCACTCCATCCCTCCCCACGCACCTATCCGCACCATAACTGTCCCCCACCAGAGCGGGACACCCAGTGAGACTCCGCACCCGGAACCCACAGTGCTTCATTATTCTCACGTTGCCTCCCTGGAGCCAGTGGGCTTGGAGAAAACTCCTCCACCGGTCACTGCGCGGGCGTAGGTCACAGGCTGGAGAGTGTGGGTGGCCTCAGGTGCCTCAGCCCCGTGGCTGGAAACGCAGCTCATCATGCACGAGTGACAGGTCAGGGATCCTTATATGTGAAAAGGTTATTTATGTGAAATGCGTCTCCTGGGAGCAGAGCCTGAGACGAGAATTCTTGTGCAAGTGCATTATTGAAGGTGTGCTGTCTGGGGAAACCTGTACAGGAACCAGGAGAACAGGCCAGGCCATGGGGTGCGTGAGTGAAGAGGAGTGTCTGGGGCATCCTAACACCTTCATCCAGGAGCGGCTCTGGGACGCCATACCGCCCAGACAGCCCTGCACACAGGCGAGGTGGCGGGATTTTATCCCCCATAGTGCTGTGCTCTCCTGTCCTCCGTCACAGGTAGCTTACCGGCAGATAGGGGTAGGAACTGGGGCGAGGTAGCTCCCAGGAGACAGGGATGAGGAAAGGCATCTTCCTGTCGGGGCAGAGGAAAGGCAGGTTGGAGCACTCAGCGGACAGCGCCGGGCCTTACTGGGAAAGGAGCCTGGGTGGATGCCAACATGTGTTCCAACCGCCTCTACCCATTATGGGCTCGTCTGAGCCACAGCAGTAACTGAACACCTACTATGTGGGATGAGTTAGATGTGGCCACCAGCCTCCCACAGCTCTAGTCACCTCACATTTACCAGTCGTGGCAAAGCTTGGTAAAGGCAGCCCCAGAAAGTGCTAGGGAACCTCGGAGGAGGGAGCGAGCCGTCTGACCTGGGAATTAACTGAACACCTACTATGTGGGATGAGTTAGATGTGGCCACCAGCCTCCCACAGCTGTAGTCACGTCACATTTACCAGTCGTGGCAAAGCTTGGCAAAGGCAGCCCCAGAAAGTGCTAGGGAACCTCGGAGGAGGGAGCGAGCCGTCTGACCTGGGAAGGAGGAATCATCCAGGGAGACATCTGTCTCCTGGGAAGCCGCTCTTCCCCCTGGGGAGTCTGGGAGAGGGCACCCCAGCCCACACATGGGGACGGGAAAAACAGACCAGGCCCTGGTGTCAGGAGCAAGAAGAGTAGAGGGGGGTCCCCAGCCCTCTCCTCAGGGCTGTTCACAGAGCCCCCGCTCAGTTCTTTGGCTGCTCTGGACTCTGGATACTGTGGTACAACTGAGCCTGAGACAGGCTGGGGCCTCGCCTGCGGGGACTTCAGAGCCTAGTTTGGGAGAGGGACACAGCACCAGATGGCATGATCCAAACATTTTGAGGGGCTTTACCCTGGGCCCATGGAGGACCTTGGGGTTTTAAGAGAGAGATGCATGGACAGGAGGGCCAGGATTGCCCTTTACAGCAGCCACTCAGGGTGCCGCTCGGAAAGCACTGGTGGGAGTGAGATGGGACCACACAGAGAACCTGCCACACTCACCTCCAGGACCCCACCACACGCACAGACGAACAGTTTGACTCAAGTATCATCCCTGGGGCTCCCTGGCTCAGCTTTTCCCAAGATTCAGCTGTTTTCCCTGGAGGAAACAGCTGCTTCCTGGGCTGCATGGGGGCTGGAGATTCAGAAGGTCAAAGGAGCAGGGTGCGGGCAAGGCTGGACTCCTCCCTTCCAGGGTGCTGTTGGGGTTGAAAGCTGGACTGGTCAGGCGGGATGTTGCAATACTACAGGACTTCCGGAGCCCAAGATGTCCTAGAACAGGGTGTGGGTCTTAGCTTCTCCTAACTTGGGGCCCCTGAGTTGGACACATCTGTAGTCTAATAAAAAAATAAATTTTAAAAAGGAAGTTTTGTTGACTATTGTGTGAACACCTGTAATCCCAGCAATCGGGTGACTGAGGCAGGAGGAATGCTGCGAGTTCTAGGCCAGCCTGAACTATAGAATGAGACCCTATTTCAAAACTCAAGCAATAAAAATGAACAGGAAGTCCTGCTGCTTACACACGTTAACTGTATTATGCATTGTATGTGCAACCCAGGGCAGCTCCCCTTCACTCAGGGAGGCCAGGGACAGTCAGGTTGGCAGCCCTGGTGCACGGAGGGGTTGGGCCCTTGCATTTGGGCCTCCAGTAGAACCGCAGTTTCTTCTGGTAGGTGTCCAGGCTGTTCTTCAGGCACAAGGCCAGCTCCTTGTCACAGGAACACAGCTGCCGCTCGCACCAGCTCCCCTTGTCAGCTGTGGGTGGAGGAGGGGCGGCTCAGAGTCTGTCCCCCGCGGTGGCAGAGCAGAGGCAGGACCAGGGTGTCCGAAGGTGGTGCAGCCCCTGCTCAGGAACTTCAGTTCTACCTGTGCGCGTGGCCCCCCTGTGTGCCCTGGCTCCTTTACTTGCCACAAGGCTGGTTCCAGAGAGAGAACAGCGTGAAATGCGCAGGCACTGGGGAAGGGGTCATAGGATGGCAGAGTGGAGATATGAAGTGCTCCAGATGGAAGCAGGAGGGTGGCAAGCAGCGTCCAGAACGGAGATCTGAACAGGCCACGCCTTCCAGGGAAAGCTGGGGTGGGGAGAGGAGCAGTCCAGGCTGAGAACAGCGTGTGCAAAGACCAGCAGGAGGCCGGCCGGCTTCAGCTTCACTATCAGTGAAGTATGGCTCCTAGCAGCAGCTCCTCAGAAGGCTGGGGGTAAGAATTAAAGCAAGAAGGCAAAGCACTCAGCATACAGCAAGTGCTCAAATAAAGACTAGATGCTGTTCTTAAGTCCCCAGTTGACAGGGACAGGCCCTCTGCCATCCTTCTCCATACTGGGAATGCAGCACACCAGGGGCCTGATGGCCTGAGGATCTGCACAGAGCCTGCGCTGTAAGGCTGGTAAAATACTTCCCCACTCCAGTTTGGGCTTTCTTGTCTGTAAAAATGGAGAGGATCAAGGTCTCACTGCTTCCTCGCTGGGGTGTTAGGTGGATCAGCTGTTATAAAAGGAGTAAACGTAAAACAGGCAGCCTGTCCAACCTGCTGACTTCGTTTTAGTCCTTGAGTAACCACAGGGTAGGTTAGAGATGCTGATAACGAGGTTCAGAGAGGCTAAGTAATGGGCTTGGGGTCCCGCAAGCTGGGCAGTGCTGGGCGTCACCTCCAGGTGCTGAAAGGGTCAAACCTCCCCTTGGGCCTCCCCATGCCCCAGCATCTACTCTTGCCCCTCCTCCGAACCCCTGCTGTTGCAGACACAGGACAAGAACAGAGAGGCTGAGTCCTTATGCATTGTCACTCAGCCTATAAAGGCAGTGAGGGCCAAAACTCCCTCCATCGCTGAGGCCAGGGCACTCACAGCATTGGATGTTGCCCTGGGAAATGGTGTATTTGTAGTAATCTGTCTGCGACCGGCATTGGTGGGACTTCAGGTGGGTGTAGCAGCAATCATGCTTCTGGCAGCACCTGGCAGGAGAGGGCAGTGGGTGGAGCAGGTGGGGTGCACCTGCAAGGGTCATTAGCTGGCTTTGGTTTCTGGCTACTGCTCCCCTGTGCCCACCCTGGGAGAGGCAAGGCCTTCAGGGCTCTGGTCTTCTTTGGGATTACAAGGGTGGATGCTGATCAAATGCTCCCAATGTACCAGGTAGCTGCTTTACTTCTAAATATTTTCCCATGACCTCATGACCACCCCATGACAGAGGTACGGTACACAGACTCAGGGAGGTCAAGGAAAATGGCCCCAGGCCCAGCTGGCCTCCTCCTCCTCTGCCCTATCTCAAATGAGATATGGGAAATAAAGAAGTGAGGCTTTTGAAAACATGTGATGTAAATGAGAAGTATGTGGGCACTGAGTCTAGATTAGAGTGTGGGAGTGCAAGGGGTCAGGCCTTCAGGGACTCTGGGGAAACTTCTAGAAGGCCAGCTCCAGGAGGGCTAGGACTCAGCACTTCCAAACACATAATCCATGCTCCATGAAAGGAATCCACAAAATGAGTCAACTCTGGAGGAGAACAGAGAAAGTCTCAGGGAAAGATTGCCCCCTGCAGGCCCGGGGTGGGGGTTACCAGTCTGTGGCATCTTTGGGCTGGCCTGTGCCACCAAGTCCGCAGTGACAGCCATAGGACCAGTAGTTGAAGAAGGCGATCTTCCCAGTCATTTGCCTGATCATCTTGCTCAGGTTCAGGAACCCCCCTTGGGTTGGAGTCACGCCTGCCAAGCAGCAATGAGGAGAAGGAATGAATGTCATAGGAGTGCCAGGGGCCACCAGGTGGGCACCTCTGCTGTGCCTGGACAAAATGAGTGAGCTTGGATGATGACGGTAATAAAATAATGACAACTACTTCTGCGGTTACATAGTGTGGCTGGAGGTGCAGCTGAGCAGCACAGCACAGGCTCAGCATGCACCAGGCCCTGCCTTCCATCTCCACCACCAGAGCCATAAAAATGAAATACATATACAACGACTTACTGAGTGCTTACTACATATTTCTTTGTGTATGGATTTAGTGACTCCATCCAGGGAGGTAATATTATTTTTTAACATATCCTTTTTGTTTGGGAATAGTTGCGATACAAAATGGCAAAGATGGTACCGAAGCTCCCATCTTCCCCTTGTCCAGTTTCTGCTAATTTATAATCTTATATAACTATGGTGCACTGGTTAAAATGAATACTGACACAGTGAATACCTTTAAGGGGCGGTGGATACCATTTAACACCCCCCCCACACCCTTAGTTCAAGGAATAAGACTCAGATGTGCTCTACCACCGAGCTACATCCCTCCTAGCCTATTTATTTATTTATTCATTCATTGATTTCTACTTTGAGAGACTCCCTAAATTGCCCTGGTTGGCCTTGGACATGAGATATTCTTGCGTCAGCCTCCCTAGTGCCTGAGATTCCAGGCATGAACCACCATGCCCAGCTAGTAATCCCTATTCTACTGATGAGCAGAATTAGGCTCCGTAACTTGCTCAAGGTCATGGCGAGTAGTTAAATGGAGTCAGAGTTGAACCCAAGGTAGTCTGGATCTGTTCTGGGTCCGAGTGTTGACTTCCCACTCACAGCAAGAAAAAGAACACTGACTCACTCTTCTTCCCACACCCCTCTGTGCAGCCCCTGGAGAAACCCAAGCATTAAGTGCATATGCAGCTCTCCTGGAAAGCAGCGTGACCTAGAAATCAATGATTTTCATTTTAGGCATCATAGCTCCTGGCTAGAATCGATCATATGGGGAATCTGTTTTATTTAGGCAGAGGGATACATTACGTCGAGTTAGGAGAAATAAAATACATTAAGTCAATGAATTCATGGAAAAGATGGGAGAAACTGACAAGAGGATGGACGTGTACGCATGTGCTGCTCTGGGAGACTCCTCAAGAATACAGGAGGTGCGTGCCCAGATGCAGCTGAATCATGGAAAGACAGGAAAGGGCATTTGGGTGACCTTGGTTTATGGCCCTCCCTATCCATCCCTGGGTAAATGAGATTATACTGAAACTCCCCAGGCACAGAGTAAGCAGCGAAGTGGGATTGAGCCCTACATGGAGGAGGTTAAAGTAGGAAGGGGGGCTGGGAGGGTCTCATGCTATGGACACAGGTGAGATCACAAGCAGGTGGCCTTGGGCTGCAACTGGAAGTGACTGGCCTGTTGTGTCCTCAGTGTGTGGGTGTCCACACTGCCACTCCTGCCTGACACCTTTGCTCTAGCATCTAACTCTAGAAGCTCGAACTGTGCTGATGAATGATCCCCATACCCTCCTCTGGAGTCATCCGGGATCCCCAGCTGGAATTCCTGGATTCCCAGATTGCATGGTGAGGAATGTAAAGGCAAGGAGAGTTAGAACCCACTATGTGGACCAACCAAAGGCTCAAATTTAGAATCTTGCTTTTCTAAGTGTTCCTCTGCTCACTTTTCTTTTATTTTACCAGTCCTTCCAATTGGGACTCATAAAGATACACTAACCTCTTCCCCTACAGGAATGGCCCAGCTCTCCTGTCAGGCAAGCAATGCTGTCCCGCTATGATTCTGAATGTTTGGCAGGGATGGGAGTGTCCTCACTTCTCATAATTTTATGGAGAGGATAATTCGTCCTGGGGAATGGAGCTCATGCTGTGCTTATGGGGGTTTTGGGACCTCGCTTGCTCTGTCAGCAATTCCTGTCTTCGTAGCCTAGGGCAGGGTGGCAGCAGGTGGTATCTCTGTTATCTTCGTGCTCCTGTGGTGTGTTATGCTGTTAATTGCTTACTCCCACTTACACTTGCTCAATGCTTGGAATCCATTCTCTCATTAAGTCCCTCTAACAACCCCGTGAAGAAGACATGGAGAGGTTGGATGGCTTGGCCTATGTCATGCTGCCAGGAAATGGGTTCATCTATGAATTTTACCTCTAAACTATATTGGTTCTTCTCCCTCTGCTCCAAAATGGGGATCAAATCCAAGGGTGCTCTACCACTGAGCTACGTCCCTAGCTCTTTTTATTTTTTATTCTAAGACAGGGTCTCCTAAGTTTCTTAGGCAATACACAAACTTCAGATCCTTCTGCCTCAACTTCCCAAGTGCTAGGATTACAGGCACATGCTACCATGCCCAGCTACTCTATGGATCTCTATATCTGAGGAATGAATTTATGTAGCTTTCACTTTAACTTGGGAGGAGTTTGAACAATCTGGGAGTGCCACAACATAACATCACTTTTTAAAAATACAAGACCTTTCTAAAATCGCATATTTTGAGATACATCAAGAAAAAGAAAGCCTATTTGCTAGCAGCCACATTTCTACATTTGGTCTGCTAAATACTGACTAGAAACTGCCCCTCACTCCTCCTTCTGCCACAGGTTAAGGGAACCCTGTTCCCAGGTTCAATGATAATGAACTTCAAAGGGCTCTAAAGATTGCTAGTATCCTATCAAAAGTGGAGACATGGGGATCCCATTTCTGTACACCATTGCCCCAGGTTCAGCACACCACACAGCTTGGCTGCCCACACCTCTCTGGGCTGAAGCTGCTTTCCCAGGGGCTGTTAGCCATGGATGGCACCTTGCAGAGTGTGGAAGGGTAGGGGACTGGGGTACTGGGCATCTAGGGAGAAGAGCAGTGATGGCGAACCTTTTATTGGATAACAATCTGCTGCAGCATGCATGCCATAGGTTCATCACCACTGGTATAGGGTCTGCCTGTATCCCTTCTCCTTGCCTGTCATGCATCCTGTCCCCACTCACCAGTCATCAGCAGCAGCCCACACAGCAGGATGAGTTTCATGATGCCAATAGGAGCGATGCAGGCAGCCCCGAAGGTCCCCTTTCACCTAGGCAGCCCCTTATATGAGACACGCCCCACCCAATCTAGCGCCCACCCCCCACCCCCACCCCGCCCCAGCAGAAGTGACTAATGAGGCTTCTACTTCCTCTTTTCTGGGGCTGGGAAAATCTGAGTATTTTTCCTTGTTGATAAAAGAAACCCATATCCAGTGTAGAAGATTTGGAAAACATAGACAAGAAATTTAGAATCACTTGTAACTCTGTTAAATAGCATTAGCATCTTGATGTATGTCCTGGTCTTATTGTCTATCCACCCACCTATCTACTCTCTGTAGTGTGCACTCGCATGTGTAAACACACACACACACACACACACACACAGACTGTCATCTACTGATAAAATCTGGATTTATTTCTATTCTTTTGCAGTAACATTTTCAAAGGCAGCCTCCAATTCCACTCTGCAGCTATGCTGTTTATTTCATGACTCCCTTATCGATGGATACACACATTTGTTTCCTGTTTTTTACCACCCTAATGCAGTGGAAGAAGAGATTTCTCGGTTCGCACGCAGAATGGTCTCCTCACTGGTACTTGCCAAGCCAAGGGACACTCACAAGCAAAGTGTGTCGGTACTGAGCCTGAGGAAGGTCTGCCCCAGATGATGGGTGAGAATCCTACTGAGACGAATGGTGAGGGCACGGACCAAGGGCGGAGGTGCAGCTGGCCCAACGCACTTGAGACTGTTGGCATTTGAGACACATCACACAGAGACATCAGCTTTAAGGGCTCTCCGGTGACCTTGCTCACAGACAGCAGAAACAGGTACTTGGGCATTTTCCAGTGGCTCTTCAAGGACTGCTTCTGACTCATCAGCTCACCCCAAAAATTCTCACTGCTGGAAGGTTTATTGTGTTTGATTTTTCTCTCTTTCTCTTCCCTTTCTCTTTAAAGACCTCTTCCCTTTGTTTCCTGACTCAGTCAACCAACTGACTGCCTTGTATTTGAGAAGACGATCTACACACAAAATAATTGAACAGGAGGCAAAGTAGATGTCTTTGGAATGTTCTTTGTCTTTAAAAAAAAAGCTGTGGAGGTATGTGAGTATGTCATAAGCTATGTGCATTCAGTATACACCACTCAGTGAGTTTCAGAATAAATGTACATCTGTAAATCTATCATCACTATCAGGCCATACAATATCCATTGCCTCAGAAGTTCCTCCCATCTGATATTTTCTTTGTTACATTTCCCCCAGTATGCCCAAAAGTCATTCTCTTATACTGGCCCCAAAAGTGTTTTACCCTAAAATACACCTTTTTTGTTTGTTTTGAGACAGGGTTTATGTAATCCAGGTTGGACTCAAATTTGCAATCCTCCTGCCTCAGCCTCACCAAGTGCTGGGATTATAGACATATACCATCATACTCAGCTAAAAATCATCTTCTAGAGAAAATAATCCAAACATTCATTTGGAACAAGGAGAGACCTAGAATAGCAAAAGCAATTCTAGGCAACAGAGACATGACAGGGGTATCACAATCCACAACTTGAAAGTATACTACAAAGCCACTGCAATAAAAATGGCATGGTGCTGGCAAAGAAAAAGACCTGAGGATCAGTGGAATAGATTGGAAGATACAGAAACAACTCCAGATGTACTCAGCTACCTTATCTTTGAAAAAGGAGCCAACCATCCTCAGTGGAGGAAAGATAGCCTCTTTAATAAATTGTGTTGGAAAAACTGGATTTCAACCTGCCAAAGATTAAGACTAGACCCTTAATTTTCACCATGCACTAAACTAAAATCCAAGTGTATTAAAAATCTAAATATTAAAACAGAGGCACTAAACTTGTTGGAAGATAGGCAGAACTCTTGAAGACACTGGCATAGGAAAAGACTTTATGAACAAATCCACAGTAGCATGGGAACTAGCAGAAAGAATCATCAACTGGGATCTCATCTTATTAAAACGCTTCTGCACTGCAAGAGAAACCAGCAACAGAGCTAAAAGAGACAACCTACAATATGGGAAAAAATTTTTACCAGCTGCTCCTCAGACAAAGGACTATTATCTAGAATATATAAAGAACTGAAAAAAAAATCAGGCCTCCCAAATATAAAGACCCAATTCAAAAATGGGCATCTGAAATGAACAGACATTTCTCAGACAAACAAGTAAAAGCAGCAAATAAATATATGAAAAAATGTTCAACACTACTAGTCATTTGAGAGATGCAGATGAAAACAACACTGAGATTCTACCTCACCCCAGAAAGAACGGCTGCTATCAAGAAATCAATCAATAACAAATGGTGACTGGGTTGTAGGGAGAAAGGAACCCTTCTCCATTATTGGTGGGAGTACAGACTAGTGCAACCACGGTGGAAATCAATATGGAGACACCTCAAAGAATTAGGATTAAAGATTCCATTTGACCCAGCTATTCCTCTGCTGGGTATCTTTCCAAAAGAATTAAAAGACTCATACCCCAGCAATATATGCATATCCATGTTTACAGTGGCACAGTTTGTGATATCCAAAACTTGGAAACAGCCCAAGTGTCCTTCAATTGGAGACTGGATAAAGAAGATGTGGTTTTCTATAAAATGAAGTACTACTCAGCCATAAAGAATGAAAAACTAGATTCATTCATAGGAAAGTGGATGCATATTGAAGCCTTACTCTTAAGTAAAATAAATAGGACACACATGTAAATACTGAATAGTTTCTCTGGTGTGAAAAAATAAAAGTGTAAATAAGTTTCAAATGGTATAACTGATAATGTGAAACAAGAAGAAAAGGGCTAAAGGTGTTGGGGAAGTGGGAAGGGTAAGGGAAAGGAAACAGAGGAAAAGAAAAAACATGAGAAAAGGAAAAAATAGAAACAAAGTCTTTGTAAATAGGGGAGGGTGGAGGGGTGAGGGGAGGGAAGGGGTAAGGGCACAAAAGGAGAACCAAGACCTGTCATGCAAAGGTCCAAGATTCCAATGATGAATACTGTAACTGTACTGTATACCTAAAAGGTACCAATAAACTCAGTGACAAAAGAATAATAAAACTCATCTTCTAGATCTGGATCTTGATCGTGCGGCTACCTCCGCCTGCTTTGTACACCTTTGGGTGAGAGCAAACATAGGCAGAACCACAAGATATTTGTTGATTCCAGAGAGTTCTTCCTGGTGAGAGAAGGATGTTTTGATGCCGCAAAGAGGCCTTGCAGACTCCAGCTACACATTTGTCTCCGACACCTCTAGCAGCCCCCGGGGTCTCCGACACCTCTAGCAGCCCCCGGGCGCGTCTAGCAGGATGAGTCTGGAATCAGAGACCTGGATCAAATCCGCCACCTTTACCAGCTGTGGGATCCGAGGAAAATCACTTCACCTCCACAAGCCTTGGTTTCCTCTGCAAAATGAGGCCACCCCACCCCACCCCCGCCTGCGTCTCTGCTGGGAGGTTTGGAGATAACACACGCGAAGCCTGCTCACTTGCTCAGGGAGCCTCGCTGTGGTGTTACACGGAGGGGAGGAGGACGGGGGAGGTGGGATTCAAACCCAGATGGCCTGGAGTGCGAACCTGATCCTCCCGATGTCCCCGTCCGTCAGCCTGGAGAAAATGGCTCAGTTGTGCCTCTGCTGCTCGCTCACGTGTCAGGCAGGGGTGAGCACGGCGGGACTTTATGGGTCACGATGAGGATCTGGGGAGAGGATGTGTGTTATGTTTCGGAAATGGATGAGGGCCCACGCTTTGGGAGCCTGGTCCTCGGTGTGGAGCTCTGAGAAACAGACCCCTCCTGGCCCCCTGTGGCTTCCTCTCTCCCCAGGCAATCTCTCCCCCATATGTGCCATGATGCTGTTGCCACGGTGAGGCCAGCTGAGGGGACCTCGTGAGAGGCAGAATCCATGGGGCCACCCAATCTGGGACGCCCCTCCTCTAAAACCTCTTTGCTTTCAAAAGTTTCCAGTCTTAGGTATTTGATTATAGTAAGAGAAAAATGCACTAATGCACACAGAAACAGGGCATGGTCCACAGCTAGAGATCAATACATATAGCAGGGGTTACTCCTCCCGTCGGCAGCATCCTGGTTCCCCTCACCACTGCTGCTTATAAACAGAATAAATAGCTAACCTTTGCTTCTGCGTTGTCTAATATGCTGCCGATCCTCTCCGCCAGGCATTTCACCTCTGCGTTTTTCTTCTCTCCATAAATTTAATCTGTCTTTTTTTATACACCCCCTCTATCCTTCTCAACACGCACAAGCTTTCCTTTATCTTCTTAAATATGAAGGATATCATTATGCTCTTCCATATTTTTATCTACTAAGTCTATCATCAGGCCATTCCCGAATCTTTTTCTATTATCTGATGGCTTCTTTAGAATAGATTTCCAGAAGTGAGGTTGCTGGGTGAGAAGGTGCAAAGCTTTTAAGCCTCTTCCATTCTGTTGGTGTAGATTTAGAAGGTGGCCCACACCCACCCCTACACACGGCCCAGCCATCTGCTCTGGATGCGGCATTCAAGGGCGTTTAAGCCATAGCATTTCTCGAGATTTGTCAGCAAGTCTGGGTTTTCACTTCCCTTCTCCCTGCTAGAAAACTCCCTGCTGATACTGTTCATCCTCAATCCAGCACACTTTCCAGGGAGCGGGTAGAAGAGAGCAGGAGAGAACTTAGATGCTGGATTGAAAATTCTATGAGTAATAGTCGCCATTGTCTGGAACTTCCCCTGTGCCAGGCACTGTTATCTCATTTAATTTTCACAACCACACCAGCCAGGAGAGACTGCTACCCTCGTTTGACACATGGGTAAACCGAGACTCAGAGAGAGTACAAACTTGTGCAGGCTCTCACAGCACGTACCTGTCAGAGTCGAGGGTAGCGCCTTTGCTGGGTGTGAGGCCAAGGTTCTACATGCTCCACACATGTGTGAAGTAAGTGGGCACTGGCCCGATGCCTGCATCATGGATGAGTCACTGTATGCAGGAGTTCCCCCATACCTACTTCCCATCCTCCCAGCTGAGCCAGAGGTGGAAACAAAGAACCCGGATACCTGTTGCTCAACTCACA